TAAATTTCAATATACATTGGAAATGCATGTTTTGCAGATAAGCTATCATATAGGCCTATAGGTATGTTGTCATAATATAGGTATACTAATGACCTCAAAAAGAAATAAGTGAAGTAGTTTAAACAAATGTTAGTCCTACCAATAGGACTATCACATTTTTGTTGGTATTTTTGTCTTTTTTTTTTAAATCTTTTTTTAATGTATAGTTAAATTAATTGTTTTGAGATAATATATTTGGTGTAGAAAGAAAAAGTCAAATCAAACCAATCGTAATAAAAGATTTAGCCATGATTTACCTATTATTCTCATCATACCTCTTTTTGCACTTTGTTTACCACCTATCCCTTCCATCTACAAGAATGTGGATGTTTCTTTGTTCTCTTGGATTTTTCTTTGTGCTCTAGCATTACCTACTTGCACCTACCACTGGTACTGTTATGGTGCACTGTAACCCAGGGAGAAGGTTGAGAAAATCTAATATTGTCAGTTTAAGAATGATGTCTGCAAGCTAAGATGAGCTTGCCACTGCTGATTGCTAGTCTAAATAAGGCAAGCAGTGTTTTGGAATGCATACTGGGTCAGTAGTCGGGTCAATCAGCACTACTTATTGACTGATACATTCTGGTTGGACGACTCCCTAGGCACAGTACGTTCTCCTCCACACGTGCCAGTCTCATTTTATCACTGATAAATGCTGCTGACTTAAGCACCCGTGCTGGCATTGCATTCTCTGTTCAGTGATACTGGCTAAAATGACACTCTTTTGTCTGTAGGCGTGGGAGTCTGCCGGCTTACAGACACGATTTATTTTTGCTATGCAATTTGTTTAAGTATCTTGGAATTACTTTTGTTCTCATAATATTTTATTGTGATGTGTTGAGGACAACACGACTTACAGTTTCATATTTTGTGTTTTTTCTTCCAAAATGTGCAATAACTTTATTTTATTTTTTATTTTTTTAAATTTTGCAAAAAACTACAGACTTGGTACCATTTGTTTTACAGTGTAAAGTCAGTCATCATCATCATCATCATCAAAATAAGTCATAAATGTTCATTAAGCCAGGATCTACTGTAGTATACATAATTTTATATGTGTACACTTAAAGTTCAACCATTATGTTGCATCCATAACTAAAAAGTATTGTCTTTTTATTTTCATTTTTAAGCCTTTTATTTAATAGCATAAAATGTAGGGTAAAGGTCAGGGTATTAAGGGATTGGATTACTCTATTACTTGACCTGTTGCAAAAATTAAAGTTAATAGCCCATTAAGACAGAGGCTAGAGCAGCACTGGGTGCTGATCGCAGTGGAGCCATGCTTATCTGTACGTAATATGCACTTCATTCTTCATCACTAGAGTACCTGATAAACTGTCGCTACCAGATCCCATAAGTTTACTATTATTATACTATCCTATCCACACATAATATCATTATATATTCAACAAAATTAATGAATAGTGACATGCTTTTTTTTCACAGAAATTAACCGAAAATATAAATTGATATGCAATATAATTAATTGTGACATGAGTTGACCATGGCATGAAATCAATGTTCAATATTTTGGTTGATGAGAAAATGTATCATATAACATTGTATTTCTAAAGATGTCTCTTTTTATTGTGTATATTTAATTACATGCTATTAAACAGCACTTCCGATGCAGAAATCCGATCCCGATTATTACTTCTCATCCAAGATCGGTGATCATTTTCTATAGCTTCTTGTTTCTTTGAGTATCGTTTATGTCTGTTTTCCTCCAGTTCTATGTCCCTTAGGAATTTTCAACTTGCATCTTCTGTGTCGTTAATGTAATTGATACAGTTGTGGAAAATATGCGATAGTAATGTTCTTGTTTTATATAGCCCTTCCACAGAAACTTCGTCTCACGTACTTGCCATGTGATTCAACTCTTTTCTGAGAGTCCCTGTTTTCATGTCTTTCTACATGTTCACTCTTATCTGTATTAACTGTATGTTTAGAATACCAGTGAACTTAAATTTATAGATACTAATTATGATGTGGGTCATTGATAATATTATTAAAATGTTATCAAATTTGTTTTATACATATTGGTTTGTAAATTTCCTACTAACCTTTCATCATGTTTTAAAAACCCTCATGTCTGTACATTTGTTGATAATGCTTTAATTAAGAGCCCTGAAAAATTGAAAGGCCTAATGCTGCATTGACGTAGGAATTGTTTGTCCTCATGTTTTCCGAGAAAGATGACTCAGGGACCGAGCGTTTAACATGAGGTTCAGACCCTTGACAGCCACCGACAGTGTGCTTAAAGTTACCATTCAGAATGTTGGCCATATTCCGATTTATCTATTTTAATAACACAAATGCAATTTTAAATCATAAGTTTGCTCTTATTGGTGTGTATATGTATATACATATATATATATATATACTGTCTCTTATACACTCATCAAAGAAATTTAAATACAGTGTTCAAATAAAGGACATGACAGTACATTGTGCAGCATAGCTTTCAGCAAATGTCCTATAAATAAATATATTATGTAATAAAATGTCTTCAGATGGGATTTGAACCTGCAACCTTTTTGTTGTCAAGGCGAACGTCACAACCATTAGACCACAGAGGCTTCATAGTTGAACAGATTCAAAATTAGAGTATGGTAGGTGAAAACAAAAAAAATAATGCCTGTTCCCATATAACTTTACAATACGTGATAAAAATTAATTTAAAACCATAGTGTTTCACGTTACTGTATATTTACATAAAAAGCTTATATACATTAGAAATTAATGAAGTATTCCATTGGTTGTACTTGTCAAAAAATGATATGATATCCTTTGATTATGTGAAGGTATGATAGCACTAGCCTAGATACCTGCATTTATGACATGCTGTGTCAGTTATAATGTGGTGAGCCTTGCTGCCCATGAAGTGACATGATGATGTACCAAAATAGTACAAGAGTTTATATTCACATACATTTCCTTAGATTTACTTGCGCTATTAACCATCTTCAACTTGAGGTACTATAGTATGTAAATCAAGAATTTATATTTAAATTTCATTTCTTTAGGCACTTAAACCAAGAGTCCCATACTGGTTACCCATTCCCAAATACTTCTGTTACTTTTGTATAAGTGGCGTGGAGTTGAATAGCTCAGTAGTTAAGGTGCTTGCCTCTGATCCCAAGGTCCTCGGTTCAATTCCTGTCACGAAAGGACTTTTTCTCACGAAAAAAACAACTCCACTCCCTAAGCCTCATAAAGAAGCTTCGCTGATTAAAGCATCACATTATTTCATGTGATGAAAGAGGGCCCCTGAATATCAGCCGACCTTGAAGGATACGTTGGTGTGAATTGTAGCTCTGCAAACTTTTACTTTCCAAAAAAAAAAAAGTGTTGAAAAAATGCCTTTTCATTGGCCATCCCTAGGACATGCTGTCAGTTACAACTTATAGAAAGGACCATTTTTTTTTTTTTTTTTTTTTCCATTTTTTTCAGTGAAAACAGAATTTCTTGAGTATAAGCCTACCTTGCAAAGTAGGTCCAACCTTGTGTTAGAGGGAGATGGGTTTAAGACAGAGGAATTACACAACTGCAGTACTCATCATGCTTCCAAATTATTTCCTTTAATTATTTTTTATGTTAAGCGTAGGCTTATTGAAAACAGTACATTGACCTTTATATGCTGAATTCTGTTTGATTGACAGTTAGTAATTTTGATACAAGTCACATTGTTTTGTCATATTAAAAGATATCTTAGCCCTGTCGGTCTTTACGTGTTCATCTTCAATATTTAGCCCCCTAACCTACTACAATTCCTGCATTTTATATTTGTTTTCATCAGAGGATGGCATCATACAAGTTGAATAGATATTCATGTAAGATCAATTTTTCAGGATCCTAGGTGATCTGTTTCTCACAGTATGGTGTCAGTCAAGTTTGATTACTAGTATAATATGATTATGTTCTTGGGAGCATCTCATTCTGTTCGTTTAAGTTATGGTCGACTGACTTGGAAATAAGAGGCACGCTTACAGTAGTGTTCTCAGGATTGGGTTCAAAAGTAATGGGCCATGTATCTCCACTAAGATGATGTTTCTCATACGTAAATGTTTCAATAAAATCCTATATTCACACATGGATTTGTTGTTTTTTGTTTTTGTCTGTTGTGTTTTTTTTTTGAGAGGGGATGTTTTGAAATTTGATTAGAACGTAGTAATGTATAATTTCTGTTTTGATATAATTACAGTACTTTTGTTATTTTATAAGGTTGAGTGGCATTTCATGGTCCATGGTGTTTTATATATGATTTATTTGGTTCAATTTACTTCCATCAATAATGTCACAGTGTTTATTATTTTCCCCAAATATTTTACAGAAGCTAATTACTAATTGCTTGACCTTCATTAATGATTGCATTAATTAACCGACCGATATATATCATTATGTTCAAATTGTAATTTATCAACCCCAGCATATGGTAAAATTGTAATTTATCAACACCATGGTAATTTTCAATAATTTGAAATTTATGTGGCTTGAGTTTGGATAATAAAATCACTATCAAAAGTGTTCTTGTAAATAAATGTTCTTTAAAAAAAAAACATTCTGTAAATATGGGTACTTTTAATATTAAACAGGTTTGCTCATGCAGTATGAAATTTATTTTTTATAATAACTATTATCACTCATTCCTTGCTGTATCTACTTCAGTAATAAATTTGCAAAAACATTAATTATATCAATTTGAATGATTCTGATTTTGCTCCTATTCTTCCTATCTTTATCTAATCTTTCACATTCTCTTTTCTGTTTCCTCATCCCTTCCTCACCTTATTTATATCAACATCTCCATTTTAACTTGATGCATGCAAATATTAAACATAGATAAAGTTACTTTTTCTATTTCATGGTTGAAAAATTGACTTTTCAACTTTGTTAATATGCACTTATTAGAAATATATTAATTAATAGATTTTAATGGTTTGACATTTTGTATTTTGCAGTTGATAAGGAATAAAGAATTGAGACCGATTGGAGTTCTTGTTGATAAAGAATGAAGACAGATTGGTGATCTGAAGAAAAGGAAACATTTGAAAGAGGCTTTAAAACCATAGAAAAATACATAGCATTCCTTTGGACAGGCATTTACGAGACATTTAACATCCTTTGACCTAGTAAACAAGGTGCAAACCAAGTTTAAGCAGATGCATACTGTATGTTGTGAGCTTTACCAGATTAAACATAGCAGTAGTTACTCAGTTTTACCATGGAGGAAATAATGTTTTATTTCCTCCCTGGTTTTACTGACATGGACTTCATTTGCATGGATGCTACTAAAACTTCCTCTTTGATGTGGTGGTTTTCATCATAAATAATTATAGAAATTTTTATTTTTGAATTAACTGCTGTTGATAGCTAATTTAATACAAAGACTGAAGTGGATGATAGGATTGTAGACTGCATCATGTCACTGTTTTGACGGTTTTAAATCGATAATGAAGAAACAAAAGAAGGAAATTGTTTAATTTAATTTCAAATAAATAACAATTTTGATGATATTATTTACAAAAAAAGTAACATGTATAATTACCAATTATGAATAATACATACCATTTGTATATAACTTTTTTTTAAATTTTCATTTCCAAGAAAGGAAATGTGTCCTTAACTCAACTTATTATGTTTTTGAAATAAATTTTCATCTGAATGAAGAGCGCCCTCTTTAAAAATAAGTTTTTAATAGCAATAGCAAAGTGCTTTTTTACACAGTTGTAGATAAGCCGTAGAGATCTTTTTATGATTTAAATTTGTATTGAAATTTACCTATGTGTTGTTGGTTTAATCTAGAAACATAATATGAAGAAGACAACAAATTCAATTAGAATCAACAGTTATGCAACACTGTTACTTTGTTGTTATCAATGTGCCAGTTTTACAGTCCATTGCATTCGTGAATACCGAGGCATGAATACCAAAGTATCCCGTGTAGTGGCCTGTGCATGAATGTCATGCTCCAACGAGTTGTTTATTATTTACGCCAGGCGGGACAGGGTATGAGGTCTTGTGAAGACGAAGGAGTCACTTAATTAAATATTGATAATACACTATTACGTTAGCTCATCCAGAAAATGACCGATACGATGCGTCTGGAATTCTATACGATTATGACTTTGAATAAAGCCCGAGGCTGTTTCCCACGCCTACAGGCCATAGAAAGAAAGCTACATCATGTCTTGTGTGATACGTTTGGTGCAAATATGATCATATTAAATATTCACTCCTCACCTGCATAAATGCTGTCCTGCTAACAGTTACAGCAGATGGCTCAACAACCAAATTTACTTCTCTTTTCTCAACCTGTTTTCCTATCATTGTGGTTTGTTTTTTTTTTTGTTTTTTTTTTTTTTTTTTTTTTTTTTTTTTGTGGTTTGTTTTTTTTTTGTTTTTTTTTTTTTTGTTCTTTTTTTTTTTTTAGTTTCTTTCATTTCCAGTAATTTTTCCAGGTTTACTTTGCATAACCACCATTTTTTCAGTGCTTCTTTTTTTATTTTGTTTTCTTTCCATTTTATCACGATGTAGGCCTATGGTAATTTCATCATTGGTATAATTTTTGTGATTGTTATTCTTGTTAATATTTTCATAATTATTTTGTTGTTATTATTTTGTATTATTATTGTCAATATTGATTTCTTGTTTTGTTATTGTTTTATTGTTAATATTAATATTATATTAATATAGTTATTAATATTACTGTTATTGTTAGTAATGCATCTGTTGTCTATTTATACTTCTGGTTAGAGAAAGACAAACATATTTTTTTTGTTTTATAATTTATTATTTTATATTGGTTCATCCTTCTGGTGAACTTGACCCTAATTAGGCACTAAACGATAGAACGATGGATTCTATGCAAAACTCAGTTAAATTGTATTGTAAAATTCAATTGATTTTATTGTTATAACCTATTTAAATAATAATGATTACACGTAGAACATGCAGCAAGCTACATTTTTATTTATGCAACATTGACCTATAGCAATGGCAATATTGACCTGTAGCAGTAGTAACATTGACCTGAGCAATGCCAATATTGACCTGGGCAATGCCAATATTGACCTATAGCAATGCCAATATTGACTTATAGCGGTGGCAATATTGACTTATAGCGGTGGCAATATTGACCTATAGTAATGGCAATATTGAGCAATAGCAATATTGACTTATAGCAGTGGCAATATTGACCTATAGCAATGGTATATTGACGTATAGTAATGCTCATAATTTTGTTGATACCAATGCAAATTGTTGTTGGTCACAGTTCTATACAAATGTAAGTCTCATAAATTACATCCTGTAAAATAAAGGTAAAAGTGCGAAAAGAAAATGGCTTAATTGTTTAATGTTCACTTTACATCTAAAATATATAATTTGGCGGCTAAACACATGACCCTATCACCACACTATAATATGTCTACCCCGAAATGCTTATACCAAATTTTAACATTCATATCTATATTTGAATTGGTTAATTTGTATATTTAATTTCGTTAAGTTTTTAACTTACAAAATAATTAACAGACTGATAAATAATACATTTCCTGTATTCTTCTGCATAGACCCTTAATTTTCTTGTAATAAATTTAAGAACGTTTTTAGTAAAAAATCTGCTAAGAAAACAAAATATTTCGATCTGTTTCTGGTTGGAAGTTTGAATTTATTTGATCCTTTTAAATGAGCTAACCAAACTTTTTTGAGATTTTAAAAGTAAGCTATTCAATTTATTTTTTTTTTAGGTTCCCCACCTCCTCCCCCCCCCCCCCCCCCCAATGGTTTTGGCAGAGAGTATAATAACTTTATCCGCGTATATCTTCTGAAACGGAGGCTCGACATATTTAGGCCTAGAGTTTTAAACGAAAATAAAAGTACATATGAAAACAAACAAATCCAACTATAGATAAATAAAATATTAGTGTATCTTAATGTAACAGGATTTGTTTATTCCTTCTCTGCATTATTTTTGGATGCTGGTAACTCAATAAACGACACGGTCACAATCGTCAAAGCACCTGCCGTTTGTTTGCGGCTTGTTTTTGGAATACCGTACTATACAAATACTAAAGTACTTATCCCCTTTTGGAGAGGATATAACCGTATGAGCATGAGATAGTGCTTTAAAGAAGTCACTTCAGTACCATATGCCGTCTACAGGAATGCCACACACAATCGCCCACGAATATTAGAGAATTTTGTGTCTCAATTTCCGAATGTTTGTGAGCAAAATTATCACGCCTTCACGTTTTCAACAACCAATGTAGTAAAGTACAACGAATTGCACGTAGTTCTTCAATCGTAAACATGTTAAATATATATATTATTTTCCATTTGAAAGCTTGTTTTTGCTTTTATGGTGTAACCCCCACAGAACATTAACCTTCCGTCGTGATTACCGTTTCTGTTATTGGAACTATACGTCTGAATAGAACTAAGGAGGTTCTCATTGCTTTGGCTACGATAAAAGCTTCTTGGATGAGAATCGACCGTCTCGTTATGATGAGACTCTAGGGGTTCAAATACACGCAGCCCGCCTTTATATACAATCAATATAATTCAGTTATAATTGTTATAACTGATTGTTGTGTCAATTCCGTGTTTTCGTTTTTAATTGTACCCTTCTGTGTATTATTAACCCTGCTACCTTCTTGAAATAGACAAGTTTATTTCCTTCTGATTGACAAACAAAATGCCATTCACATTTTTACAGCGTACCGTACTCAAAGGTGATTGCAAAATGTGTGCCTATATGACGTAAATGAAGTATATAGAACATTTAGTATAATAATAATAATAAATTTAGCCACTGAAAATGTATCAGTTATAGGCAGCCATTGACTAGAAAATCTAGTTAACATATTACATCTCATGATAATCTTAGATTATATTATATTTAACAATCCTGTATTATATTACATTATATTATGTTGTAAATACATATTGATTAGAAAAATTAGCCATTATTTTGAAATATACAAACTAATTTAATCATTTAAAAGAGAATCCTGCAGTCGTGAATTTTTTTTTTTTTTTTTTTTTTTTTTTAGATATATACTTACCATTCCTTTCTTTTTCTCCTCCCTCCAATTAGGCTGAGCTACTTATATTAATATTAATATTAATTTTATATTAATATTAATATTAATTTTATTCTACGAATTTAGTCTTTAATTCTCATTTTTTCTTTCTTTCTTTTCTTTTCTTTCTTTTTCTTTCTTGTCTTTTCATTCCTTAGCTTTCTTCTCATTTCTTTCCTTGTCTATAGTAGTATAATATTAGAGAATTACAAAAATTCCAACAAGCCAGGCATGAAAATCGGAAGCTGGTAATATAGGACTATTCCATTTATCATGGACGCACGAAATCTGAATACGCACATGCACATGGATAATCTGGGAGTTCAGATGAGCGATGCGCTATTATTAATTGCGAACTCAAGCAACTTTAATAAAGTTATCGCAATAACAAACTACTGTATTCCAGTGCAAGTAGTTTACTATTATAGTCACCGGTAGCATAAGTTGCGTAGTCGTCATAAACGCAAATAGGCCTAGCTAGCATTATGGCCGAAAAATATATGCCTATTATTAGTTCCATTAGATTCTCACGGTCTTATTAGTTTAAACAAGTTCATCGATGGTTTTGCTTGTGTTAAATCTATTATTATCACACATGTATGGGCGTCGATTTTAAATAAATATAATATCCTCAATCAATTATTGGCTTACTCGTCTTTAACAACGAATTCGGTGAGGTGTCAAATTGAGATCATCTCAACTCTCTCATTTTCATTGTAATTTTAGTTTCGGGCATAAAACTTGATAATCATAACCATTATTATTAAATTAGCTATATCATCGTTCTGGTATCTGGCATCCTTGTGACGCCTGGGTCCTTTAACATTCTAGTAGCGCACTTCAAATAATATGTACTACGGTATCTATCAGTCATGGGGTAAAAAATGAAAATTTTACTTTTGTTTAATTGCTTAATAAGTTATTAACTTAAAATATAAATTTTAATTTAAAAGAAATTCCCCCGTCAATTTTCGGACAGTTACATAATATGCCTAACTTTACTTTTGCAGAGATCATTGGGCTTGTAATTTTGTAGTAAAATGCTTGTAAATCGATGAAAACTATACATTTTTTCGATCTGTTTGTCGTTTGAAACATATTTTGTCCTTTCAAATAATTTTTAACTTTACTTTATTATTTTGCAAAGATCATTGGGCTTGTAATTTTGTAGTAAAATTCTTGTAAATCGATGGAAACTATACATTTTTTCGATCTGTTTCTCGTTTGAAACATATTTGATCCTTTCAGATAATTTATTCAAAATTGTATTTTATTTTTTTGAGGTATTTTTCTGTCTTTTTGATTAAAGAATAGGCCTACACATTTAATGTGTAAATTAAATTATAAAATATGTCTGTTTGAATGTCTCCTACACTTATACAGTACCATGAAATTATCGTTATACAAGTACTGTACACCCGCAAAAATATCCATGCATTTCCTATTAAATAGGAAGGCCTAATTAGTATTCATTATACCGAGCCTAGATATCATAAACAAATTAATCACACCTTTATTAATACAGAATATATTTTATTGTTGCACGAGTATTCGCGTTAGCTACATTCTTTTTCATACATGTCATTATATCTTTTTTTTAAGTGTTGCCGCTCATGGCCACTTGGCCACAGTCAGGTGTGAGGTGAACATTGTGTTTGAAACAATTGGTGCTTGCCATCCGTCATTATAAGGAACGCCCGTGTTTGTATCAATATGGATTAGTATAACTGATAACATCCGTGAGAAACTACCAGCGAATGGAGGCCACATCATATCCAGTTATCTGTATCATTTAATTGTCATGCAATTATGTTGCTTTGTTGCATGTACCAAATGCTTTTGTGCTTTTAAAGCACCGCGGAATAACCGGTATTTTAAGTATCAATTTCGTATTGCCTTCGTCAGAGACCTTTTATAATTTGTATGATTGTAGTACTGTAGACACAGGTCGAATCTTTGGAAGACCAGATTGAATTATAATATTGTAAACACTTGGGCCAGTCTGTTTTGAGTAGATTAACGTAATAAATTGTGTCTTTATTCTAATTCATTCCCTCAAGTCTCATCGTCCAAGTCATTGAGATTTTCATTGTTCA